TATTTTAATTTGTTCATCTTTTTATTTTTTAGATTTGATCTTTATTATTTTGATTATTATTTATTTTATTTGAGATAATTTATGAATTATATTTTTTCTCAATTCCATTCTCATTCAACATTTTAATTTGTAAGATTTGGTCCTCATTATTTTAATAAACTTCAAAAAAAATAAAACATTAATAAGTTATTTTCCAGCTTATTTTTCACGATATAACCAAACACTGGAAAATATTTTCCAACTTATTTTTCATTACACTACTAAACATTAGAAAAAAAATTCACTTTCCTGTGATTTACTTTTCTAAAATTCACTTTTCAAAAAAAACTACTTTCCTGCAAATAAACAGTATTTAGACCTAAAAAAACTAATAAAATATAAAAACAAATTGATTTAATTCTCTTTAAAATATTACTTAATTTTAAAATATAATATCACAAATGAATATTTAAAAACCCATCAATTTTATTTTTCAAAAAAAAAATCACCAAAAACCACTCTATTGTTGTGGCTACTAAAGCAATGATTATTGTTAGGACTCAACCAAGCCCAAGGGCATAACCCACCAAATAAAAAAAAAGAAAAGAAAAAGAAACACAAAAATCCATCCCTGCAATTCAAAATAAAGATTTCTCCCTTTGTGGCCATTGGTTCCCTAACAAAACAAGGTGAAACAAATTAAAAATCCCTCTTTCTTGTTCTTTTCTCCTTACAACTAATCAAAGATAATAGATTCCATTGCGTGAGTTCATGCAGCATGCACCATGGATAGTGCAATTTCTTTAATACATCAACCTCCCCCAAGCTACAAGTCTCTAAACCCAACACTTAATCTTCTCTTTTTACAGTCTTTTCCTTCATTTTCATCCTTGTTATTTGTAGCAGCCACGGTCACACTCAGATGGACCTCAGATTTAGCCAGTTCTAAAGGAAAAAAGAAAAAACACTCTCAATTCTCACATCAGCACTGTTGTTGCATCTGAGAAAGCTGAACCGTTTTATTGTTTCAGAAAGCACTGATCTTTCTTCTCTTGATATCTTTCTCAGCCCAGATTTTGTTGCTGCTATTGGTAGATATCGTCTCAATAGTCCCATTGGTCTTTTCACTTTCTGAGCTTGAAAAATGCTGGTCAAGCACTTTAACTGGTGTATCAGAGCTTGTCACCATGTCAAACTGCGACCTGTATCCATCCATTGCTATTTCTTGCATTGCATTATAGCATTGCAGCAAGTTTTCCTGTAACAAAATTAACGTCACATTGCCTTATTAGGTGTTTGACCCCTAATATACCATAACAAGTCAAAAAATGCAATATATATATATATGTAACTGTAAAGGTCTAATTGGGACCAAACTATATCATTGGTCAACCAATGTTCTTTTTCGTACAGGCTGGAAAGCTTAATTACCATCCCATGACAACATTTGTAAATTCTTTTTCTTTTTTCTTTTCTTTTCTTAAAAAATTGATAAAAACTGAAAGGGAAAAAAAGTAAAGAATCAGAGCGCAATTACTAAAAAATTACCTTATTTACATGTGAACAGTTGGATATGGCTTTTCTAAAGCATAAAAACTGCATAGGAAAAAGTTCATGAGAAGCATAGAGAAGTGCTGATGCAGCAATTAATGATGGCTTGAATTCCAAGAGATTGATATCTGCACAAAAGATATACCAACAGTCAGCTATTAAAATCCAAAAGGAAAGATAGCACCAAGTTTTGCTGATTTCCTTCTGCCTAAAGATGATCTCTGTATGAGAGAATGTGCATACCATTTTGAGCTTTGAAGATGATCTCACTGGCTCTAGCTTTAAGAGCCTGCCTCAGTGGTGGATCTTTAGGTTTAAACAAAGAAATGAAGTAAGAAATGAAAGAGAATGGAGTGATTGATCTCATTCTCCAGTTTAATGCCCCAAGTATCAGCACCTCCATCTTTTGTATCGTTTGTGTGTCAAATACAAAGCCACCATCACCCTACACAAAATGAATAAAAAATAAAAAATAAAAATTTTATTTGATAATCAAGATGAAAAATAATACTATTAATCATTCACATATGAGGCTATGATATAGAAATTAATATTATCTATGGATACTTGCCTGAGTATCAGAAATATAGAATTCTGCCTCCTTCATTTTGGCTGCAAGAGAAACACAAGCAACTGCAAGGAGCCTAAAGAGCCATGGCTTTGGTTGCTGTGATGATTAAACATTGATAAATTATTCAGTTGGATCTCAAACGAAAAAAGAAATAGTAAAAAAAGAATCCTTGAAAATAACTTTTGGGTATTAAAAAAGCATGATTTTGATTCTTTACGGGAATTCCTTGGCTTGATAGGAGCCTATCAAGGTAATTAACAGCAAGATAGGACAAGGATGGATCGAAGTTGCAAGAAACCTGAGAAAAGTACCACAAGACATGGTATGTTAAAGAACCGATCAAGAAATATATATACATATAAAGTTAGCAATGCAAAGAACTGGGTTGTGCTTTACATTTTGCACACCTACCCTTAAGACTGAAGAGATAGCTTCTCTTCTGAAAGAGCCATCGAAGTCCATCTCTTTGAGGGTGTTCAAGTAGTTATTAGAAGGCATGTGATCAGACTCAATGAGAAAGAGATCAGAAGGGATTGTGTCAAAGTGAAAGTCATGGGAATTCGCTAGTGGGGTTTCAAGATTGAAATCCATTGATCTGTTTGTAGCTCCGATCAGTATGGGTTTAAGGATAGAGCAAGGAAGATGAAGAGAACTGAAGCAGAAAGACGGTGAGAAATAAAGAGAGGTGACCCTTTTTTACTTCTTCTTTCTTTTTGATAGAAGAGAGGTGACCGTTTGTTTCTCAAGATGGCTATTAAAATACTAGGAACTACACAATTCACTCGTTATAGGGTTCTTTGTTTGCATTTTGGATTTGGGTATTAATTAAATAAATATCATATTTAGATATTTTGAAATCGTGATAATCATTTAAATACTAGTAAAAAAGGTTTAATTTCATTATATATCATGATTTAGAATCAATGAATTTGGCAATGCCTCTTTTTTTATATGGTGAAGTGGCTGTAAAACTAATAGATGGGGAAATGGCTAAGGTATGTCAGAAGAAAGGATAGGTAGGAGATGAAAAGCAGAAAGACTGGCAACTGGTTTACCTATTTTTTAACTGCCTTGACTTCCAACTCGTGTAAGTCAATAACATCTGTTAGAATCAATTACTTTTTCATTAAAAAAATAAAAATATAAGGAAGTAATATTGAGTTTTTCTTTTTTTGTTTAAGTTATCACAAGTGTGAAAAAACTTTTGCAAGGTAGCATTGTTAATTTATTTATTTATTTATTTTTGAAAAATAGTAATTTTTGGAGAGCTGTGTTGCTCGGAGAAGTACTGGAACCTATTAAATTTTTATTTGTTGCGCTACATCTATCCAAATTATGCTTTTTCTTTTTCTTTTTCTAACTATACTTGCCTCACAATTTTTTTTAATGTTATATTTAAAAACAAATCTAAAAATCCTCCTTTTTGTTTGATTTTTCTAAGCACTCGTATGAAATTGTGTTATTTAAGAATAATTGAAGGAAAAACAAAATTTAAAATTTTAACAAAAAAATTAAATTTGACTCTCAAACACCCCTTTAAAAAAATTTAATATTTTTTTAATTTTTATTTTAAATTAATATTTTCAGATCATTTTAATATTTTAATATGTTAATATTAAAAAATATTTTTTAAAAAAATAATTTTAAAAATAATCACTGTATTTCCAGCTAAACATTCTAAAATAGAAACATCATTTGGAAGGTGCATCACCTTCACATCCAAAAAGGAGCTTTCTAATTCTTCCAAGTCTGTGATTAAGAATGTATTGAGTATGATAGTTATTATTTTTTAAATAATTTTTTTTATTAAAATATATGTTAATAATATTTTTTTATTTTTTAAAAGTTATTTTTAACATCAGTACATTAAAACAATAAAAAAATATATAAATCATATTAAATTTTAACAAAAAAAAATTAAATTTTTTAAAACTACAAATTTAACCATATTTCCAAACAATTCCTAACACATCCAGTTATAACAACAGAAAATGCACGGATGAACATTTCTACATTTGATGCAACTAAGTTTCCGTTTAATGTTGCAGTTTAACCTTGTTTTATTATTTTTAAAAAATAAATTTTATTTTAAATTACTTTTTATTATTTTGAATCATTTTAATACCTCAAAAATAATTTTTAAAAAATTAAAAATATATTATTTTAATATATTTTTAAATAAAAAATACTTTAAAATACAATATCCTCCCGTAAAAGTAAAGACAAGTCTGTCAATTGAAGTAAGTTAACTGTAAATCCATCACAAGAGTATTAGGTTTCGACATCCAAACAGCGTATCAAACGTTCCCAAAAAATTATGAGACAATAAACCAATATGACCCACGAAATTAAGTTGGGTGTTACCAAAAATATTAACGTACCATCTTTTAGGATTTTTTTTTAAATGATAGTAAAAGGTATTAGTAAACTCGTAGTTTTTAAACTCATTTTTTTAATTAATCAGGATTTATTTTATTTTATTTGTTTTATAAAAAAATAAAAATATATTTTTTTTAAAAATTAATAGATTTTAACTCGATTTTTCCCCGTACTAACTAGATTGCAGGTCAATTCTTTTTTTATTTTTGTCAAAACTCAATTCAGCCTGGATTTTAATTCACCTACATTGCTAATCAACTCATTAAATTAAGCAGAACCAACTCATGACCTCGTAAAGTTTGGGTTTCAAACCAATGACTAAACTAAATAATATAATTATAAATAAAAATAAATAAAACCATTTTTCTTCTATGTAATTATTTCCTTTCCCATCATACCAAAAATTATTGACTTGGGGTGGATTTGACAGAAATTGTTAGTGGACTCGGTTGATTCAAGATGAACGAGTTTGCCATTGAACATAGGCTACCCTCATGCAATCCTCCAATTGACATGGAACAAAGGGCTCTCTACAAGATAAAGATAAAGAAAGACAAAAATCATCAATACCAATTGACCAGCCACTTCCCACCATGTCCTCAAAATCCTCCATTCACGTGTACATATGTTACAATATTAGACATTAATAATCTAATAATTAGATTTTAAATTTATTTTCTAGAAATTACTATTTTGAATTTTACAAATCTTAAAATTACTAAAAATTTATATAGTTTTTAACTTTAAAAGTTGTAAAATTAATTAAAATACATATAAGTTAATCTAGATATTCACATTAATAATAATTAAAAAAAAAAAACATTAGACATTAATGGAAGGACAATGACAAAGTTTGAAATGTTTCGCCTCTTCACACCAAACCATACAACTGCTCTACGTGAAAGTCATAAAAATATGTGACCATTGCCACAGCTTAATCTTATATATGCACTAAAGAACTCAAAGGGCTCCAGAACATTTGACATTGTCTGGACTCTTTCAAATGCTAGTGGCAGTTTGACAGCTCGTTTTCTTGGCCTAGGTATTGAATGAATCGATGTCTTCTCATCTTACAAGTAGAAAAGACTATCAATGGGACAAAGCTAGTATTTTTTAAGCATTCATAGATGGAGGAAATTTATTATTCAACATAGTTGCTTAAAGTGGAGGTCCATGATGGAAAGGGAGTCCTCCTCAGTTGAAAACCTTAGTGGTAAGTTTAATTACAATGACTTAATGTTTTATCACCACTATATTGTATTTCATTGATTTTTTACAACATTATAGTCAACAATTAGAAGTTTTGTTATTAAAAAACAATACCAAGACTGGCTAATGAGTTGTAAGTCCATTGGCACGGGGATTTTCCCTATTTTAAAATATTTCCGAGTTCAAAACTTGTCTTCTAATTGGAAAAACAACAAGAGTTAATTAAAATAGAAGGATACCTTTCTCTTTTTACCCTATCAAAACACAAATACATAAGAAGAAAATTAAATTATTCAGTCTAGTAAAGATGAACTAGATTTTAAAATTGTTAGGGTTGTACTAGATGAAACACAATCCAATATTTTACTCATTGTAGTGGATATAATATTATTCATCGATAGATTAGAAATAATAAACTATTAGAATATCATGCTCAAGTTTTCTAGATAGAAAGAAAAAAAAGTGATTTCAAATTAAATCCTACTATTCACTTGATGTGAAGAAGTAAAGAAGAGACGCTCTGCACCTCTAGCAGGTCGAGAGAGAAAAAAAGGAGATAGAAGGTTATGATGAATTTTCAATTAAGATATTATTATACTCACAACATCCATACATTTCAAGAATTTTAATTAAACTTATGTCATATTAAAGTTTAAAGATATCTTTTTAGATATAAACCATAAATCATAGATTAACATCAACCACCATGCTCATGTTTTGAGCATTTTATTGCAATTATCTTTTATTAAAGTAATAATTCGGGCCAGTTTATGTATATTGATTAATTTTGTGATTTTTAAAATTAATAATTATATAAATATTTAATAATACTGAAGCTAATAAATTTAAAAAATAAATTTAAATTCTGACAAGATAAACTTCTCAATTATGTGCTGTAGAAATTTTTACTGCTTTAACGAGCAGAAGCTGTATTAAAGAGGTGAGAAGAAGATGATTGACAAGAGATTATTTTTTCTAGGGTTGTACTATGGGCCTACTGCCATAATAAGGAATGGGGCCAGTCAAGAGCTACTTTCTTTGCATCAAGTTAGTTTTTTCACCAGTTTTTCCTAGACAGCGTACCGATTTTTGAATAAATGGTTAGCCTAATTGTACAATGGAGTTAATTATATTTATTTCATGAGCAATTTATATTTTGGACATTTTCTCCGATCTATCTGTCATCAAGTGCTGAAGTGAGAATTTATATTCATAATTCTTTGATATATTTTCTTGGATTTTTTATTATGAAAATGATCTTCAACATACAAAATATGTTAAAATTAACTTAAAATTTTTATTTCAAATAATAAATTCACACCAGAAGTCTCAAATATCTGTCTAATTGAACCTTGTGTGTACTTATCAAAAGAAAAAAAATAAAAAAATAATTTTTTTTAAAGGATTCTGAGAAATCTAAATTATTTTAATGGGTATTTAGCTTATGTGCTGAAACTTGAGATGAATTAGCCACCTAGTTGGTGCTGGTTTAACTAAAATTTATTTTTTTAGGGTTTTTTCTTTTGGTGTTTCAGCTTCTTTCCTCCGGTATAAAATCTTTTATGGTTTAATATTTTACCCTCAAAACTCACCGAGGACATAGCTTTCATAAGAAGTGGTCAAAAGGAATATTTGGAAAACATGTGAATATAATTACCTGATTTCAAGAGTCAATGACATGTTGTCCAAAAAATCCAAGGCATAAAAAGCATTGGTCGACTGATTTACCTCTTGTTTCTTTGCCCCCCAACATCTCTTTTCACTCAAGAAACTTGCTAGATCATTTCTCAACTAAGACAACAACATGGGCAAGAAGACCTTAAGGCAAATGATACTCAAATCTTCTTCTTCCTCCTCCTCCTTTTCACATTGGATGAGTAGCTAGCTCGTGACTTGGACCTAAGATCTTTACATCAAATCATTCTGTATTAAATACTCTAAATTTGGGTCCTTTTTCAAGCACTATTTCACACTTATAATTAAATGGGAACAGAAGCTATAATAGTCTCGTCCTATGAAAGTCATATCAATCGCATGTTTGGTCAATGTTAAGTGGGTTAGGCACTCTCAATTCTCAATTTCACCTACTCTTGAAATTATTCACCAATCCATTAATTTAAT